TCTTTGTTCATATATTGACTAGTACATGTGCCCACCGTGATGAACGGATGCTCGAGTCAAGACACGCGAAAGCTGGGTTCAATTCCCAGACAGAGAAGAGCCTTGTGAAGAGCTTTTTGATTTTCTGAGTGGGTACACTGGCATGCCTTTCAGGCAACTAGATGCTGGATTTGAGGAGCAGGAAATTGTTTGGGAAACTTTTGTTTTCTGTTAGTACATAAAACACATCTCTGCTGGATGTGACCTGCAGAAATGTTTTAGAGATAAATATGATTTTCTCCTTGTTCGATCAATGGTATGGTTTCATTACCTACACCTATTATATAGAACGGACACTCCTGATAAAATATTTGAGTCTCGAATCAGTTTTGTGATGCGTGAATATTTGACAACTCTCAAACAGAGCTTCAGGCAGATAGAATTTCTGACTTATGATAAATTTTGTTTTTCATTGGTACATGCCCTAGCCATTTTATTTCTATCAGAAGGTTTAAATAGTGTATCTCCAATGCTGGATGCCCAGTAAATCATTTTCTCTCATATGACCTGCTGAATATATTACCTGCCTAGGCCTATTAAAATCTTTGTTAGTACATTGGCCAGTGAGGCCATCAGAAGCAGTGACACGCGAAATCTGGGTTCAACTCCCAGACAAAGATGTGTTGTAATATGAGCCAGATTTATATGTTTTCTATTTTCCCCCTAAGTACTTGACTTGGTGAGAATTCGAAACTGTCTCTCTAGAGCTGAATGGGACACCCTATATACTTGAAAAAATGTTGATCCCCCTGGTGATTCGCTTACATACAGCTATTAATGAATTCGCCTACTAAGTAAAATTCTTGTTAGTACATCGGCTGGTACATGTAGACAATGGTGACGTGCGAAAGCTGGGTCCAACCCCAAGGCCAGACATGAAGATAGTTCTCAAATTTTTCTTGGATTGTAAGTATAACAAGTCTAGACTTGGTTCCCCAATACTTACCAATATCTGGGGGTCTTTGTTCTTTGAGAGGTATGTTTAGGCAATTTATGGAGTGGGTTGACAAGGGAAAGATTTTTCGTCATTTGGACATGAGCCAATGGGAAGCATCGGATCTATCTCATCCTTACTCAGTGTATATATACAAGCGAAGCCAAACAAATTTTCTTTTTGAACTTTGTGACCCAAAAACCCCAAAACCTCGTGCGCTCAGGCTGTTGTGATTTCACGCCTAGTACAACACCAGACAGGTTCGTGATTGTGCCATTTGTTTTCTCTAAAAACTCCAAATTTTAAAACTGGTGTAATTTGGCAAGGATCTTCAAGGATTTACTTAATTGGCCAGGGTCGCTCTAAGGTTGCTCCATGTTCCCGTAAACTTGTCCAACAGTGTCACTTATTTACAAATGTGGACCTCGCTTTTGAGCTCTGAATTTGGTGCGTCTTTTATGTCACTCGTTGGATATAAAAGCGAAGATTTTGAACTTTTTCTGGCAGCGATGCTGGCCAAACCGAACAGAAAGCAAAGAGATTCCAAAAAGTTATTTATGTAACAGTTGGCTTCATTGCAGGTTAGGAATGCCAAGACACAGAAAGGTGACTATGACACTCTGCAACTAACTATCTTCAGCCACAAAAGAAGCACACTTGGGAATCTGCCTGGAACCTGTACTTAACTCCATGACAGGTCCAACACTCGTTGCTCCTGCCCATGTGGTCGTCCCCATGATTAAGAAGAATCCCCTTGGTCATCGCCTTTCTCATCGTACTCCCTGTCTTTTTCATTCTTTATCAGGAGTCACGCTCACTCTTTCCGTTCTACAACATCTGTCCCTACCCAAAATTCTGCGATGGAGCACGCAGTTCATGGGTGCCAGTGCCTGAACGTGCCACAGAGGCAGACAAATGGAACCAGCCTGGCTGGTGCTGTCCGTATACCTCACCAGCCGATGGGGGACCCAATGAGAAGGACAAAGAGAATAATATCCAGAGAGCGAGATTGGTCGCTTCGTGGGAGTGGGTATTGGAGGATGGGAAACCAATGAGGGCGTGGGATGCTGAAGCGTTCATCGGGTGCGCGCTCAAGAGTCATGGGGGGGTGGTAGTTATTGGAGGTATATCTTAACTTTTGGTTGCTTTGTAAACAAAATTTTACACCTTTCATCTACAGATTCAGTGGCAGTCCAAATGTTGTACAGACTTGAAACACTTCTTGGCACACATCATGGAGATTGGCCATGGATGATTGCTCAGGATACAAAGGTCAATGATAAAGGGATGTGCCTTCTCTCCTCGACACTCACCCTGGAGCCTGCAAACCCATTTTTCAAAAAGCTTCTTGCAAAACCCTCGCTCGCATCGGTGCCTCAATCATGATTTTATCAACCTTTCCTCACCTCCTACCACTCAGACGTCCTCATGGATGAATCTGCACTCAACATTACAATGACCAAAGCCGGAATGACGGAGACTTTGAACCCTACACATCATATATCCAAGGGCAATTGGCGTCAAGGTCTGTGGAATGCCAGTAAGGAAGAAGGATGGCCCTGGGAATGCGATACTATTGTGGTCCTCAATAGCAGCCCTCATTGGACAACTTGGCCCCTTCATCCTGCGACAGACAAGCACATTATCAAAGGTTATACCACAACAGTACGTGGTTAATCCATGCACCCACCTGCCACTAATAACATTACCACATTCAGATGGCTAGTGTACAGGAATTTTTTGCCAGTCTGCCGCCCAGGCCTATAATGGCATTCATCTGTGCTACAGTGGCTGCGCACCAAAACTGTAACGTCCACTCAAGCCCAGTACCTGCCAACTCAACTACAGCATCTGATTCTGCTCCTCCTGGGGATAAGTTCGGGTGGCACCTCTTTGCAACATTCAACCGCATTGCACAGGAATTCTTCTTGACCCCAAAAATGCGGTTTCAGATATATGGGCGATGACAGCTCAGAGACCTGATGGCCATAGCAGTTGGCTTAATGATCAGTATGACTGTCTTCACATTAGTCATTTATCACGTTCCTGTTTTTTTTTGTTTGTGCTGATACAGTACTGGTAATCTTATTTGCAGTGGTGTCACCCCTCCATTCCAGAGTGGTGGTCCAGGATTCTTTGGCACACAATCGTAGAGGAAGGACTATGATGTATAAATATCTGATTGATGTTCATCATGATCAGGAAAACGGTTGAGACCCACCCGGACTTACATGATCTACGATACTTTGTAGGCCTCCCCCAATGTATAGGTATAATAGGTGAGCACAACAACACATAGTATTCAGTGCTTTAGTTCATGTTAGGCTC